AAAGCCTGATATAAAGAAGTAATAGTGCGAGACGAGAATTATGAAATTAAAATAATATGTACAGTGTCTTTGTTACTCAGCTTCTAGTGTAAATTTGTCTTGTGCATTAAAGAACTTGGGCGGAATGTTGTTTAATTTTTTTAAATACTTGTGCAAATAAAATGAGACATTGTTGCTGATAACAAGATTAGACTTTACTGCAATACTTCACTTCAGCAAAATATGTTAACTTCAGAGGGCAGGTGGATTAAATTCGTCTGCATTAAGCAAAACTGACAATTTGGTAAATTGTCAGTTTTGAACAAATTTCTAATCTGTAATGTACAACCCACCCAAACACATGTTTACGACTTACAGTGTACAACAACAGAAAAGATTTACAAAAGCAGGGCAAATGCCTAAAAGGCTTAAATATCTTAAATTACAGAATAAACTTAAGCAATGAAGCCTGAACATTATAAACACTAGAAATTAAACATCTTAGCAAAATACTGAAAGTGTCTCAATACAGTCAAAATATTGGCCTCAGTTCTCTATAGCCGAGTCCTCAGTCTAACAATCCTGCACTGAAATCTCCGCAGGTTTCTGGCACGACTTCGCCTGCTTCCAAAGTGCACAGTCAGACGAGGCTTTAAGTTCTTTTTCTTTAACAGAAGAACTTAAACTGCAACAACAATTGCATCAAACAGAACATGCATGCATTTTTTTAACCTTACCGAACACCTATACTGTTTAAAATATGTTGTCTATAATATGTTTTATGATGGGCCAGATGAAGGCCACAACATGAAACATATCAGATAAACAAACCGTATGTATTGCCGGAGCTTTAGCTTCTTCGGGTTCTTTTGACTGCTAATTTTATACAGTTGCAGTTTTTAAAATGTCCTGGTGACCACATCAATGCTAATGTAGATCATACTTTAATATAAGTGCAAAGTTTTGTTGTTTTTTCCTTTTATAAAGAAGGAGCTTTGAAGTAGAAACACTCCATGCTTCATATGATGCACCGAGTGTTTCTTCTACACACTTCTTCACTCTGTTCGTATGTACACCACTTTGTATTTATTAGTCATTAATAATCTCTGGCTCTCTTCCACAGAGTGTTTTACGTTTGTCTTTCTCCCCTTCCTCACAACTGGGTCATGGTAGGTGGCTGCCCCTCCCTGTGTCCTGCTGGAGGTTTTGTCCTGTTTAAAGAGAGATTTTTTCTTCCCACTGTCACCAAATGCTTGCTCATAGGAGCTCATCTAAATTTGTGGTCTTCTTTTCTCTTTACAGTACAAAAGTGCCTTGAGGTGACTCTTGCTGTGATTTGGTGCTCTATGGATAAATATGAGTTGAAGTAAAAGTGAGCAGTCTCAGATACTTTTCAAGATGCTCGTCAAGCGCCAATAGCTCCAGAACGATTTAATGATATCTAGCACTGCACAGTGCACTGTTGCCTCATGGTAACAGGGTCCCTACTTTGAGGGAGTTTGCATGTTCTCCCCATGTCTGCATGGGTTACTCGAGGTAGTTCGACTTCCTTTCAGAGTCCAAAGACATGCACATTTGGTTAACTGGCGATTCGAAATCAGCTGATGTAAGATAAAATGCTTTACACGTATAGAATGAAGTTCTCTACAAATATATTTTTAGTTTTAAGCACTCTGAGTGAACAGTAAGTGTGGAAAAGCACTACATTGCAAGTACATTACATAGTGTTTTCTTCATAATGATGCAAGACGGGGGACCTATGGACAAGGTTTCCAAACAATATTAAATAGATGAAAACAGAGGCTCATTCAGAAAGCGACTAAAGCAATATCTGTGGAATTTTAATCCAGTTGCAACTGACACATTGCAGTTTTTGATTGCTATTGTTATTTTATTGTATTAGTTTTGTCATTACATTTCTTTTTGCAGCGTTGATATTTTGAATAGATGTGCATTTTGTTAAAACTAAATGGAATTCTAATAAAAACAAAACAATCAGCAACAGTCAAACAATGAATCCAGATGCATCTAATACTGTAAGAGACAGCAATAAGTATCTAGAGCCAACACATTAACAACAGTGACACTGACAGTGTTTTTGTTTTGTTTTTTTCTTTAAAAAAAAAAAATCAGATTACAATATCTATGTCTTTTGTTCTCCTATTTTTGTCTATTATTTTTATCTATGAAAACCACAAAGCCACCACGCCAATATTACTTTAACTGGATTAAGCTACTATCATCCAGCTCTTAGTTGAACCCTGACAATAAATATCAAGTCCCTACAAGTATCAAATGCCAACTGGGCAAATTTCTAAATAATTAAAATACTATCTGAAAAGTTGAATATAACGCATACTTTTGTGAAGTAAAAATGGCTAAAAATAACACAGAATAGAAGTGCAGTAAAAAAAAAAAAAATAAGCGGCAGATATGAGTTGATTTTGGTACTTCTAACAACTAAATAACAAGTGACTAACTGACAGGTGTGGAAAAATTAGGAGCCTCTTCTCACCGCACACGCTGGTCCTCAGCCTGTCTCAGCTTCTCATCTCGTCGCAGCACCTCCAGGATCAGCTCCCGCTCGGATTCAGACAGGAAGCCCAGGTTTATCATGTCAACAGCCTCTGGCATGGTGTCTGTATCCAAGAACCCTTAGTGCAGGTGAACTGGCTCAATCGAGTCACTTTTACATTGAGATGTCACTGAGGACAAAGCAAGAACATCAGGAGTTGAGCGTTTATGCAAAAAGTGTTTTTTTTTAATTAAACCTTCCAACTAATGCTTGACTTTACTACAGGACAACCTGCTTTCCTATGATCTCCTGTAATGCAAGCTCACCAGAGCCCTTGAGTGAAAACAGGAACTTAGTGACTCGATTCCCTGTGACGACAATACAGCCAGACAGAAACAGTTGTGTTTATGTGGTTTTAATCAAATAACTGGGAGACGACTGAGTGACCTTTCCTTCTTCCTGTTGGCTTCCATACAGGGAAGTTGCTGCTGCCAGTATGCCATCCTGCATAACTCAGCTGGAGATTTCTCATTGGATTATTTAAATCTCATTCCAACATCAACAGCAAAGCTTGCCTGGTGGGGATACTGATAAAACCACCAGGAATACTTTCTATTTCAAGAGACGACTCTGGAAGTTTCTGGCTGAAATGACCTAAAGAAGAACCAGGATGTGAGAGGATTTTAAAATCCCACAGAAAGCCTCTGCCCTGGTGAAAGCAAAAGACAACATGAACTTGGCTACAGTGCATGGTTCCCACCCTCTAAGGATACAGAGAGCAGGGTGGAGTTCAGGAGCTAAACATTAATTTAAACCCAGCATCAGCCTTGTCATCTGTCATGTCCCCATCTGAAACTTTATGCTCCATTTAAACTCCCCGCAGGGTGATTTAGGCAGGAGCAAAATGAGGCAAGCTGTGAGAAAGCTCCCGTTTCTAAGCACGCATGGAAAACGTGATAACTTCTTCCTCATTGTTTGAATGCCTGGAGCCTGTTATTATGATATGAGGGGTTGAAGAATACCTGCAGGGCAACTTAGTGAGAGAATAAGCTTCAAGGAAACGGTCAATACTCTGAGTTAGTGAGGCACGTAATTCTTTACCAATCGTAAACATAAAGGAGGTAAAAGCATTAAAAACAATAAACAACGCTGACAGATTTAAATACAGACTGGAGGAGTTAAAAAGAACTCGACTATGAGTCGCTAACTGCGCCTTATCGGAAAGTCCAATTAACGCTAACGTTACATCAAAAGACCGCCTGAGACTTCCCTTTTTCCTGCTGCACAGACCGGTCTGTAAAGTCTACACGTTACAACTGCTGCGAATTTTACTAAATAAAAACAATTTAAAAAAAGCCTCGGACTCATTAAAGGAAATTAAACACACCTGTTGGTAGAAGTCCACGGAGAACAGCCACTATACGACTCGCAACTCACTCCCGAGAGAAAAGACAGGCAAAAGTGATACCAGCAGCACGCGAGCTCACCGCGCGCTCACAATCACACCACCGTGTAGGTACACACAGCTGTACTCTGCTTCGTGGTTAAAACACAACCGTGCCCGAGTCTCCTTAATTGCTGATTTTGTGGCGGAAGATAAGTAAAGTTCGCAGGAGACGCTCAGGAGCGCCTCTCTCTCTCCACATTTTCCATGACAGGTGCTTTTCCTTTGCTCTATTTACCGGAGGAGGGCTGGGTGTGGAAAATCTCGCCCATATCTTGGTTTCCTTTCTCCCCCCAAGCTGTTTTTTTTCTAATCCTTGGAAACTTGGAACAAAGAAAGTGCATGCATATGCGCTTTTCATTCAAATTTGCACCTAAATGTGTGAAATTCAATATGCAAACGAGAGAGAGAGAAGCACAGCAGATAGTTACACATAGTTGTAATACCGGGCTATTATTTGTTGTTAGGGCACAGCCATAAGAGAGCAGAGCATAAAGAAAATGATTTCTGAGTTTTAAAAAATGACAGCAGCTTTTAAGCCTGAAACACATGTCGTTTAAATAAAATTAAAAAAACAACAACTTTCAAAGTCCTTTTTGGAAGAAAACCCCTCCCCTTCCTGTTGTTTCATGTCTTATTTTACTGTAAAAGCCCAAAAAATGTTTACTTAGTAAACGCATTTTTGATTATAAGATTGAATTTATCACCACTTATCCCTGCATAAACTATTATTTAGGTTAATACGTTTTTCAGTACATGTAATGTTCTGTTTGTTTTCATGTCTGTTTGATAACTGGGCGGTGGTAGTGACCTCAATCTAAGGCAAACCTAATAAATCTATAGGATTAAAACAAGCTGTGCTACCTTGCTATTCTAACTAGACCATGACTTTGATACATGTCGAGTGCTTCAATATTATTAACACATTTAAATACATAAATAAAGAGAAATAGGATGAAACAGACAGATAAAGAAGGATAAATGACACATTTGAGCACCACAAGCCAGATTAGCTTCATTGCCCCAGGGCATTGATTTCTCCAGGAAGGATGGACCCATCCATCCGTGCAGAACATATCCCCCAATTAAGGTTCAAATCTCTCGTATCAACTTAACTGGATTCAGACCACGTGCCTGCAAAAAGCCAAATCATATGATTCACATAACTTCTCAATGTATGAAAACTGCATTCTGCAGACATTTATTCAGGCTTTTCCTTTAATATGTCATGCATATAGGTCATGGTAGTAAAACATTCCCCCTTTAAAGCAAACAAAAAAACAACAACAAGGAGGGTTGTGGATCTTCAATCATGGCAGATTTATGACTAATGCAGAATAACAGTGATAATAGTGTATTTGCTTTCCAATGCAGCCACCCTCAACGGTACTAGTAATCAAACACCTGAGAAATAGTACAACACAACAATGAGCTGCTCTTTAGCAAGGCACAGCCTGACTGTTTAGCTGCTCGCTGGTAACACTGTGACTCTGGTGCACTCGTGAAAGGGATTGGGGATTGCAACTAATTCCCATGAACGAGGAATTTCCAGCGCTGGTCATAAGTCCCTTGCATAAAAGTGAGGCAGGAAACCTGAGGCCTGTACTACGTTCAAAGCAAGTTCACATCTCCATACATTAGCCACAAGATGAGGCAAACCTACGAAGGTGGTTATAAACTCAACATGTCAACCCAGTGTTTCTCATAATCCAGCTACGAGCATGTTCACATGCCAGAAGAGTGCATATTTTAAGATGAGCAAGGTAGAATATTAGAAACATATGAAGAAGTCAAATGCGTCTTGTAATACAGCCACTGCAGGCAAAGCAGCTGTATTAGGAACGTGCTGATGTGTAAATTCACAGATTAATCAATATTAAAGCTCCAGGACATTCAAGAGTCTCACATGACTACAACTGCATATTCTGTTAAATTAACCACCTACTGTTTGATGTGTGCAAGATGATTTTAAACCTTATTCTTTCTTTCATAGCAAGTTCAATGTAAGTAAATAAAATAAAAAAATTTAAACCAAAAAAAAAAAATTCAATTTAAAGATTGAGTGTTTAAAAAGAAGGCAGATTTCTTAGTGCCCAGACATTTTCATCACTACACAAATGCATGGCACCACCTCATCAGCACCTAAAGGAAAAAGGACAGTCTTTTAAAGATCGCAGTGTTAAAGGAGGCATCTACATCCACTGTCAACAAACCTAGAACCACCTAAAATGCATCTTGAGATCCGTTCCCAGATGCTTCAACCCCCACTCACAAAATGTCTGAGGTGACCTCAGTAGCTCACGTGACAGTTAAGTGGGACAGCGTCTTTCACACTTTGTCCCCAGTGAGTCAGGCCCTTTTTCACATGATTGGGTCAAGGATTCTCAGGACCGCCTCCAAGGGGATAATCCTAACTAGGGGTTAAATACCTGGGATTCTATAGCAGGTGTTTTAGAACTAAAGGTGCTTCCTGGATGAGAGACAAACGGTATTGATGAACCTAAAGACGCCCAGTTGTTTCCTTTCTAAGCACTCAAGACTACCATGTCCTGGATGACTGAGAACTTACACAAACATATTCAATTTAAACCTGTAACTTATGTGAGCTTATCAAGTACAAAGCTTTGTTGCTCTGTTCTAGGATTATATTACAATATTAAGGATTAGAAAAAACGCTTTAGAACTGCTTTCAGCTAACAGAAACAAAAACATATGACTAGAGTTTCTCCTGAGCATCTACATTTCTTAATCGTGCTCACTGAGGAAAGACAAAAACTAGACCTTCCTTCTACCTGCGCACGTCCATGAGTCCATGGGCTTTTCCACAAGGTAAGGTCAGCAGCATAAGTTACCCTGGCAACGCACCCAGAGTAAGAACTGAACCACCTTTGCAAGACTGGAGACCCAGGGTTAACCCCAAAGTTACGTTGCTAAGCCACAAATCCTGCTTTGTAGTGGAGGCCTCTGGATAAATGATGGTTGCGGTTGGTTTGTCACAGCCTGACAAATGATTAAACCAGCTTGTGTAGGGTTTGGTTAGAAACGTCTGTTTGTTTAACACCACAGTGTCTGTTTAGTGTTTGTGATGATTACTTTCTCAGGAAGGCCTGCACTCCAAGTCCAGCACGACATGGTGAACATGAGGTGCATATGACTTAACATGCTCGATGTGCTGGATGTTTGTTGTCCACTGTGTACCAGTGAAGTCTTTTAAAAGAGAAGCGAAGTGCTTTGCCGTGTCTTCGGCCCAGGCCTGCCACACCTCTCTGTCTGCTTTTTTCCCAGAAACCTTCTGGGGGGCATCGCCGGCTGTACTGTGCTGTACTGGCGAGGTAACGTTCTGGTGTATATGTAAAACGCCTCCTGTTGCTCTCCTGAGCAGTCGACAGGCGACAGACCAGCCGTCCTCAGAGCTCGGTATGAGACCCAGGTTCACTCGGTCAGCGACGCCACACAGCTGGAGCTGGAAAAACAAAAGTTAGACAAAAGGAGGTGATTACAAAAACCTGTATAGCGTATCTTTTTTTCTTAAAGCGGAATAAAAGGCAATTACATTTTTATAATAATGGTAAAAACTCAAAAGAAACAGAAACTTGCTGATGATCATTTAATCAAGAGGATTTAATTAGCAGTGCCTGGCTGATACTTGCCTTCTTAACTCATTCACTGCCATTGACGTCTATAGCCGTCAATTGCAGTGAATGAGTCAATGGGTTTAACTCATTCACTGCCAATGGCTGGCAGTGAATGAGTTAATTAAGGGTAAGTAAGGGTGTAGGTACGGCGCACAGTCCTGAGAAATCTATCTCATAGTTAAAATAGATATAGTTTTTATTAGAGGTGGACTTTCTCTGCTGAAATAATCATTTCCCAAGGGACCAATCTAAAACTGTAGTATATAAACACCACATGCGGCATAAGATATAACGAATCGATGAACTTTACTTGGCGATTATCTCCTTGGTGAATCGTGCAGCGGTCAGACACTCCGTTTGCCTCGAGGTTTTTCTTTAGAGCTTCGACAGCGTTGGGGTTCCACTCACAAGCATGAACATGACTGGCCTTTGCATGCATCAGATATGGGAGAGTGAAGTATCCAATACCTGAAGTAAGGCACAAATGGGAAAATTAAACAACAATATGCATCATAATTTGGTTGTTTTTAGGTAGCACACAGCTGTAAGAGCAATAGTACATGAGCAGTGAACTCAGCTGCACCTCCATTTGATTCAGAATTCAAGGAAACGACATCAGTCAGTAACTTTATTTCATATCTACTAAAATGGGTCCTTTTAACCTTCAAAAAGTTACATTTACCACAGATTCCTTTTATTGCAATCGTATAATATATTTTCCAGTTTTATTACCTGCATATAAATCCACTACAGTCTCCCCTCTGCAGTCAAATCCAGCCACCCGGAGCTTCTCTGTTATGTTTCCAGCCGAGAACATGCACTTGGTAACATCAAACTCATAACTGAAACAAATGTGAAGCACACATTTTCACACACATTTTAGTCTAATAAGCATGTCCCCAAGTGCTGAAATCTATGACTGATTATTACCTAATGCCATTGTCTACATGTTTAACCCAGCTGTGCGCTCCTAGCAGCATCGTCACCTCAGGAGATCTAAATCCATCTCTTGAAATTCTCCTGATCTTTGCTAGGCGCTTTGCTCCCAGTCCTCTGGCCACTGTGCTCCAAAGCTGTTGATCTAAATGAGTTAAAAAGTAGCCAGTGAGCCTCCTCATGAATTATTCTGTACATTTAGCGATAAAGTAAACCGTGGTGCAGTTTGAGATCAGTAGCTACCCATGTTTTCCCATAATGGCAGAACAAAACAAGTGTCTCCCAGCAGGACTAGGTCTCCATGTCGCTGGAAACTGCGAGGGATGTCTCTCTTCAGCTCTTCTGTCCATCTTTCACCATGAGACTCCAACAGCTCCTGGAGGACTTTCTCCAGTTTACTACTACTCGCCCTTCCTTTCTCTTTTTTTGACTGCAGTGCAGACTGTGATGAAAGCAGGACAGAAATGAAAATATTCACAGAAAAAAAAACAGCTATTACATTTTAAAGCTTGCTGTTAATAATAATTCGTTCAGCTTTAATTACCTTACTCCAAACTACTTCAAAATCATCATCTGAAGCCACAGTGGTCCTGAAAGACTGAAGCTCGAGCTGGGACAAACAGGATGCTAAAATGGGCAGGAGGACTGTCCCATCTGAGTCTTTCACTAAACTCAAACTCAGGTCCAGAGCCCCTTTGGACTGTAGTGACCTCCTGTGAAATAAAATGCATGTTAAATATAATGTCAAAGTTATTTCAAACAGGCTGTTTGTTCAAATCAATCAGCTCCTTTTGATCTAATGCTAATTGCTAGCTGCCGTTGATAGCAATGACCAAATCGTGGATTACCTGAGCTTCTGAGCCTGACACTGAGGCACACGAAGGCATGGCACACTGTCCATCTGTGAACAAACAAATCAGCTCTATTTACGTTTAGATTACGATGCAAACAAAGACCAGATGCACGTCAACAACCGGGTAGAAGCTTCCCTACTAGACACAACCCGTGTTTCCAGTCGGACTGTTATGCCGGACGGACAACTCCGAAAACAAGCAGTTGATAAACCAAAAATATATTAACAAAAACAGCACCCGGCGAACACATTTTTAATGTTTTTGTCTCTATTTCTTTTACTGCTAGAAAACTACAGCTTTTCCTCAATTAAACGAGGCCAAAAACCATTAAGTGATAGCCAGTTTTGGAGAAGTTGCTCACGGAGCCCAATAGATGGAGACAAAAGGAAGAGAAATCAGAGGGTAAGTTGCGGAAGGTAAAGCAACTTTAATGTAAAGCAGACTAAAAATCCTCCAGAATCAATCTAAAACTAATATCTATAATAAGATATAAAAATTCAACTGTTTGGGTTTATTCTTAGTGGGCCTTTATTTATGTTGTATTTGTGTAATATAGTCAAGTTATTTTGTAGGCGTTTACAAATGCAACAGAAGCATCAGTAGACACGTGTACTCAAAGGCCACTTTATTAGGTACACTTTACTTGTACCTGCAGACCTTTGCAAACCTTCATGGCATAGATTCACCAAGGTGCAGGAAATATTTGTCAGATATTTTAGTTCATGTTGACATGATAGCGTCACACAGTTGCTGTTGATTTGTTGGCTGCACATTCATGATAGGCTGTGGCATTTAAATGACGCTCACTTGGTACTAAAGGGTCCAAAGTGTGCCAAGAAAATGTCCCCCCACACCACCATTACCAGACTGAATGATTGATACAAGGCAGGATGGATCTATGCTTCCATGCTGTTCAAGCCAAATCCTCATCTTGTCATTTGAAGGACCAGGCACCGTTTTACCATTGCTCTGTTGTCCAGTTTTAGCAAGTCCCTGCAAAATGTCACTTGCTTTTCTATTCTGATTGGAGTGGTACCCAGTTTGGTCTTCTGCTGCTGTAACCATCTGCTTCGCTGTTCAACATCTTGTGTTTGGAGATCCTCTTATGCAAAGCTTCGTGGTAACAAGTGTTTATTTGAATGGTTATTTGAGTTAATGTTGCCTTTCTGTTAGCTTGAAGCAGTCTGGCCATTGTCCTCTGACCTCTGGCATAAACCAGTGAACTGCCACTGACAGGATATTTTTTTCTTTTTCGGACCATTCTCTGTAAACCCTAGAGATGGCTCTGCAGCAAAATTCAATTTCTGAAATACTCAAATCACCCATCTGGCACCAACAACCATGCCACCTTCAAAGTCACTTAAACCACCTTTCTTCCTCATTCTTATGTTTGGTTTGAACTTCAGCAGGTCTTCTGGACCATGTCTACACGCCTAAATGCAGTTAAGGTTTTGCTAAACAAATTTAAGGACAAATTTGACTGCAAATTTAGGAAAATGATAGTATGCACCTGTGAGATGTCCAATGGCCAGGAATTCCAAATTTCTTCTATTAGCAGGGCTGCAGTCCCAAAAACAACTGCAGTTTGATATGAGTTGTAATAGCCTTTTGGAGTATGTGTTTGTTAGTGCCCAAAAGATGGAGGCAGTATTGGCATGCCTATCTCAGACAATTTTCCTTTTCTTCCGAGATTACGTTATCTGTCTATTAGTGTGTATGAGGTTAGATCAGTCATGCCACCACTGAGCGTTCCCCTTAAAAAAGATCGGCCCTGTTTGACAGATCTAACGAAACGTGTCATCTGAATTTAAATTCAGACTTTAAGCTGTCTGCAGCTGGGGGTGCATTTGAACTTGAGAGGGCGGGTGGGTCAATGCTACATCTGACACATCATCCATCATCTCTGTGTTTGATGAGGTGTTGGAGATGTTATCAAAGCAGCATGAGTGAACTGAGGCAATATTGTAGCATTGTAACATATGATATATATACTATATGATATGCATGTGTGTGTGTGTGTGTGTGTGTATATATATGCATACATACATAATTTAAAAAATTGTTATATATTTGTTATATAAATATTCATTTGTTATATAAATAAAACACTAATAATTCTTATGAAGAAATACACACCTAATGAAAATGCTGTCCGTCTCCTGACTGTCTATGAGCACAATCGACAACATCTATTCAAAACTTCAAAACTCTATCAAACTATAATTATCCATAACTGTAAATTTGCAATTTTTGTGCGTATCTCTACATATATGCTGTAGTATTGCATAGTCTGTATATATTATCACTGTGACAGTGTTGCAACTACTTGCACTTTAAATTCTGATTACACCCACACATAAGCTACAAGATCTACACTGTTTTACTTATTACTACTTTCTTTTTAGTGTTTTTAGTTGTGTGAAGGGAACCTGCAAAGTAAGAATTTCATTACTCTGCGTAACCTTTTGTGTTTTGCAGTGTACATGACAATAAACTACTTGAATCTTGAATCTTAAATCAAGGAAGAGAGGTCATTGACATTAATCAGTCTGGAAAGGGTTACAAAGCCTCTTATAAGGCTTCGGACTCCAGCAAACAGCGCGAGCTTTAATCCACAAATGGATACACCTTGTAACTGTTAATGATTTCATAATCAGAAAGAGACGGAGCAAAAAATTGCATCCATGGGAGAGCTCCAAGGAAAAAAACCACTACTTACCAAAAAGAACATATAGGCTCACCTCACATATGCCAAAAACATCTTGATGATCCCCAAGACTGTTGGGAAAATAAACGGTGGTCTATTAAGACAAAAGTTTAACTTTCTTGAAGGTTTACATCCTGTTACATCTGACATAAAGGTAGCACAGAATTTCATAAAAAGAGCATCATAACAAAAGTCAGACACGGTGGAGGTAGTGCCAGACCATCGTCTGAGGCTGCTTTTCTGCTTCAGGACCTGTTCGACTTGTTTTACTTGATGGAACCGTGAATTCTGCTCTCTACCAGAAAATCATGAAGGAGAATGTCAAGCTGTCAGTTTGTGCCCTGAAGCTTAGCGTACTTGGGTTATGCATCAGAAAAATGATCTGAAACACAGCTAGTCCACCTCTGAATGACTAAAATAAATAAACAAATAAGTAAAAATGAAGGTTATGGAGTGGCCAAGTCAAGGTCTGACCTTAGATGCTTTGGCGTGACCTTAAACACTTCATGTTGGAAAACCCTCCATGTGGAGGGTTTATATATATATATATATATATACTTTGCAATTAGCTTGAAACATGTAAGTGTGAAAAATATGCCAAAAATAATAAATGAGGGCGGGGACAAAGAGTTTTTCACACCATTGTGCACACATGGTGTTAGAAATGCAAGCGTATTAGTAATATAGCTTACGTACACAGTGCAACAATTCATGTGGTCAAATCTTCAAAATGTATCGGTTTGTTTTAGCCTGTCAAACTGTCATGTATGATGCAGAAGAAATAAGATCAAAAAAAGACCTGTGCATTGCTTATCTCTGCTCTCGTGGGGGATTAATCCCTCTGGTTTCCATTACCAATTAACTCCAATAAAACACTTCACGCTCTGCTCCCTTGGGCAATACGATAGGCGAGCAATTTAGCATATTAATGTGATCAAGACAGGACCTGTTCCTGTGTCCTTTGTTCCCTTTTTCTTTCACCTGTCCTGCCCCTTTAAGATTAGATATTTCAATCTAGGCGTGTTTCCTGCTACCATTGACTGAAACCGAGAGCTGGCAGGCTGTAGGGGGGAAAGGCATATCCAAGAGCTTTACATATTCCTGGACACACTGGCGATTCTTTCTTATTTTCTTTTTCTTTAAATGAAGGCTGTTGAACCAGCAGTGCAGTCACAGTCTAACAGCCTGTTTGTGAGGACCCAGCAGCTGCTCGCCCGTAAAACCATTTATGATTTATCGAGATGACATGAATGTCAGTCGGTCAAGGTCCGCTCTTCCGATTGAAAAGCTGGATTTTCAGGTTTCTGGTGGGAATCATCTGCTGCACGCATTTGGATGAATTTCTCCTGATTTCCAGAGGTGCCCGGACCGTGAAGGGATTGAGGTTGTTTGAGCGGAGAGGGAGGCTCACTGTGGGAATGACATGCTGCAGTAAAGACGGGAAATAATATGGATTAGAAAACGCCGATGATGTGACTGCGACACTTTGAATGGTCAGAAAATGCTTCCCAGCCGCCACTTAGCGCACAAGTCTTTAATATCACTCATTAACTGGACTGTTTTTGACTAAATAGTATTTTGGGAAGGGGCTACATGTGCGCAGATCCCCTCCCGAGCCATCGGCGTATTGTCTGAATCCCTTTGCAGTATAAATACTTGTATTGACCCAAAGAAGCGCACACTGCTGATCTGAGAAGAGGACACCATGTCGGCGGTGATGATAACACGAAAGGTGCGAAAATGGGAGAAGCTCCCGGGGAAAAACACTTTCTGCTGCGACGGACGGGTGATGATGGCCCGGCAGAAGGGCGTCTTCTACCTGACCCTCTTCCTCATCACCGGGACCTGCGCCCTCTTCTTCGCTTTCGAGTAAGTCATACCCCGTGGCAAAGTTATCAGCTGCTCCAAAAAGTGTTTCCAACTCCCTTTAGGCTTCTTATGCCTTTCCCGGTTCCCAAAATATCGAGTCTTATAGCCTTATCCAACATTTGTCAACTTTAGAGGTGCATAAAATCAGTATAAACTCACATAATAAATATTTTAGCTTCAATCAAAAACATCCATCACTGCTTAATTTACGTGTTAGAGATGTCAATTTATTTTGATTGATTGATCTGGAAAGCAGCATCCACCTTCTCAGAAAGTCCTCACCTTTGATTAGGTTAAATCACCAAATCAAGCTTTTACTGTTATCCTCATCTCAGTCATGTGTAGTTGATCTGAAAATGATTTCTTTAAGGGAGTATTGGATTTTTGTTACCTTTCTAAACCTACTTAATGGTAATGTGATCCTGGGCTCGGTGGTGGGCAGTAACTGTAACCTCCTTTTATGGTTTTTTTTTGTAACAGGCAACAATTTCACTTTGATAACCTCGTATTTGTGTCTTGTCGATCTAAATTCTCTTCCTGACAGAGAAGATGGTTATGACTGACCACATACTGAGTTGTTCAATATTTAATGACACAAGTCATTCAGCTTTGGTTTTGCGGCCCTTTTTTTTTTGGTCT